AATTTTGCTAATCTATGATCACCCTGCTGCAGCCTCAAGATTCTGACTCCATACACTTCATGTACAACAAGGTCATTCTTACCCTAATGTTGACAGATCTGGAAAAGAAGACAGAATATGGGAACAACCCCATGCAAAGAAGCCACAGGCTTTTGCTGTTCTTCATTTGTGTCACAACAAATGAGTTAAGAATTCTTAATTCAAAGTACTTAAAGATTGCCTTTGATTGATTCCCAGAAACCTGAAATAATTTTCAAACAATTCTATCCAGTTTACCATTTATTTTATGGGGATAGAATTATATACTTAGCTCTTTATTATACCATAATCTTAAGATCCACCTCTGTCTCTTGATTTTGGTAGGAGTTCTATTTTCTGGATATTTAAACTGTTTCTCTTCCCTACAGAGTAGTAGTATATCGTGATATAGATAAAATGACAGCACTCATTTGAATGCACTATATTATCACATCTCTCTGCTGGGTGTTTTTTATACAGATGTATAGCCGTTTTCACAACTCTGCTGTATAGTTATACACGTGTAAACGCTTAGGTTTAGAGAGGTAAATGATCTGCCCTTTTGTGCTATTATTAATGGTGCCATTGATTTTAGTTGTATTGACATTGACTTAAATAGCTTGGCACAAATAAGGAGTGTTCAAATGGAATTTTTTGTCATTTTGTCTCAGTAAGTCAGTTAAATTTGATTCAATCAACATTTCTCAAGTACTGCACTAGCATCAAGTAATGTTCTAGTTGCAAAGTGTGAAGGACAGGACTTCAGGGAGAAAAAATGAAGGTAGGTGATGTAAAACAATAAGGCAGAATAAAATATGAATGAACCCCTCTGTCAAGGAATTCATAATCACAAAAGGGAAGCCAAATTTATGCAACCAATTATTACACAACTGACTAGTAGGTGTTCTAATACAGTGATTCTCAATCCTTAATGTGTATGTAAGTTACATGTCAAACTGCAAATTTTGATTCAGTGGGTTTGAATGGGATCTGAGATTTTGCATTTTTAGTAAATTTTTAGGTGATGGTGTTGTCACTGATTTATGGATCACAATTTGAGGAACAAAATTCTAGTATATCCATAAGCAAGGTGTTAAAAGAATACAGAGGATTTATTAATTTTTGCTGCAATCAATCAAAGAAGAAAATGGTTGTCCCAGAGAGATTAAACAATTTGTCCTTTCGGTTCATTTTTATTTTTTATTTTTTAAAAAGATTTATTTATTTATTTATACAAGAACCAGGATACAGGCCAGATTTGCAGGAGGGTGAGAGGATTCATCAGAGACAGAGTGGGGAACAGAACAGGCAGACTGATGAAATGCACTGCTGAGGGGAGCAGCAGGCACTACAGGAGATGTCTGCTGCACCATGTGGGACCCTTGCTGGCCAGCAGGGATCGAACCAGTCATAGAGGCTGCGGACAGCTTCACAGTGTGGCGCTTAACCACCTGCGCCACCAGGGGGGGCCCTAAGTTCATTTTTATAATGTTCTTGGATACATTGGAATTGCATAACATTTGATATGAGCCTACATTGACAAATAGAATTGTATTGTGAGGAAAAAACATCCTTTTCAAATAGAATGAGAAATATTGGTAGTAATGGAAATAATTTGGTAGTGTTGGTCAAACATAAAAACAATAAAGCAGAATAAATTTAAAGAACATGCTATTTTTTTTGGTAGCTGAAACAATATTTATTTAGGAGAAGTTTCTAAATATGAGATCATACGTTAGATAATACTTGATGCAATACAAAAAGAATAATACAAAAGAACAAGAAGTAGTTTCAAAAAGTAAAAGTGTATTTTTTTACTCAGCTGGAAGTTTAACATGAGTATTTCCTGATGAAGAGTAAGAGAGTGAGGCACAACTGTTTCCTACCTCCTTGCCAGTGGAAGTGAAGCCCATTACTTCTCATATTCTATTAGTTTTAATTAAATTACAACTCCACCCAGATTCAAGGGGAACCTATGTAGGTAAAGTGATGTGATGCTTATCAGTTAATTGTTGATTCTTCTTTGGTATGCATGTGGGAGATTGAGTCTGGAGAACAGGGAGTGACAAACCATTTATGTACAATACATATATTTTTCACATACCTAAGAAATTTTAAGTATTAAAAAATAGCATGTTATTGTATTTTAGTGGATTTCCAATCTTAATTATGCTGTTAAATTCTACACTTCTTAGTAGAGATATAGTTTGTTCTATAATTCTTCTCTGTTTTCAAAGTTTATGCTTTGTTTTTCATCACCATGTAGGTTATATAGGACATCAGTGAAAGGAGAAGCTCCAGTTTTTCCTTCCTTTAATTTTCTAGTGCTTGGTCAAACATGTCATTCATCAAGTGAAATAAAATCTAAACAAACTAATCTCTATACAGGCTTTATGTGGAATTACATATTTCACACATATAAGTAATAAATATATAAAAGAAGGAACAATATTCACATCTATTAGAGATAAAATGTAACATCTTTTATGTTTTAGGAAACTAAAATTACATTCTCTCTGTTAACATAATTCAGTAGATAAAAAGGGGGTTAAGCCATAAGGAAGTTCTAGTTCTAACTCAAGTCCAAACATCTTCATTCATTAACTTTGAAATTAGCTTTCTAAGCTTGAGTTGTCTTGTCTATATAATAGGATAATAATATTTATTACCTTGCCTTATATGACTATTTTAAGAATAAGAAAAACACACACACACACACACACACACATATAGATATACACACACACTCTGACAACAGACAAAAGTAATATTTAAATATAAGATATCCTAGGAAAGAAAATTCTAAGAAAGAAAATATACAAGAAAATTTATTGGCATTTTATTGTTACTGAAATAACATAATTTTAAGATATTCAGCTATAACATTACATTTTATCAATTATACAAGATAGGTGTATTTTAGCAATAAAATTACCTTAAGAATAAATTATATCTTTTTTTCAATTTCAGAGCCTCTTAATATGCTATATAAAGGTGTTTTATGATACTTTATCTTATAAAATATCAAATATATAAATTATAAATTATATAAAATATATAAATTATATTTTGTATGGTATTTTATAAATTATTGGATCACACTTATAGTAAGATTGATTTTAGGACGGAGATATCTTTTTTTTGTGTTACTTATGTAAACATGGATGACTGATATTATAATTTGTATTTTTACATAATATCCATAACACTGAATTTATTATTTTAATGTAAAATAAAAACTAGGTAATTTAACCACTCTGAAGCCAGTAAACTTATTCTCAAATATTTGAATCAGGCTTAGGTTGGATTACTCTAAACACTACTAGTTAAAAAGTGATTAGCTCTGAAATGATGAAGCATTACCATGGATTGATTTATTTTAAAAATAGTTACCATATATATATATTTAAGATTTTTTTTAGTGAACTTTGGGAAAACTTAGACTCCATAGGTTTATAGATAGACAGCAACATATCTGCATAAGTCCCTTAGTTACTTTTTCATAGGTAATTTATTAACTCAATGTGAGATAATAACAATTAATTTGATGTTCACTTATCTGATTCCAGAATCAGGTTGCAATTAATATTAGTGAATTTACAAAAGGTCATAGCAGGAATGTTTCAGTGTAATCTTTGCTATTTAAATATGCCACAGGATATAAATTTTAAAATAGCAATATTTCCCAGGCAGAAAACATAACAATATTTCTGTTCACTATTTTCCCATCTTGGAGATAATTTGCTAAGATATAAAACATATTGCTTGGATTCTTAATGCCAGGTTCTAGAGAGTATCTGATGGTCCTTCATCTTCTCCCTGGGATTTGTGTGGCTCAAGCCCAGAAGCAACCAGGAATCCTGTGGTGTCCTTGGCAAACCAGGGTAGTTACTGATATGAGACCCCTCAGAATAGGGCCTTCTCTTTTTCTCAATCATTTATTTTGATTCTGCAGTTATAATTCTCACTCCCATCAAGAGCTTTTTTTTTTTTTTTTTTACCATTTCTTGTTTTTTCCAGTACTGTATTAGCTACACAAAGACTTTAAAAATATATTATTTTTTCCTTCTGTGAGCTTACATGCTATGTTGGGATAGATACTCACCAGAAGGTAATGTAAGATCAATGTCCAATGTCATAAGGGCTGGTAGAGATCTACTCAGTTTATGAAGAAGATACCTACAGGGGAAGGGGACAGAAAAGATTTCTTAGGAGTTACTTGGGATGAATCCAAAAGAAATAGGAATCTGGCAAACAATGAAATATAGGAAGGAAGCCCTTTCTAGTAAGTGAAATTCATGAGCAAATGTACAGCATGGCATGAGGAACAACTTGGAGTTCACTAGGGAACTATAGGTAGGCACTTTCTGATGTGCACTTTTGAATAGTCAACATTGTGAAGATATTTTAGCATCATAGAATACACATTACTATTTATTCAGGTTCCCAATAGACTAGAATTTAGTTTAGTTTAGTTTTTTTTTTTTTTTTGAGGGGGGTGTTAGCTAAAATGTGCACAAAAAATAGCACATCTATTTATTTGGAGTTGGCACATGTCAACTCCAAATAAATAGATGTGCTATTTTTTGGAGTACATTGTGTCATTAGAATTATATGTACTTGGAGTTATTCCTTTTTCACCACTTATCATGTGGTCAAGGGCAATTTATTTAAATTTTCAGAGACTTAGCTTCTTTATCTCTAAAACAGATAAAAATATTGATGCTTTTGAGTTGACATGAAGATTAAATGATGTGTTTTTATGATATTCAGGCCACTATGAAACCAAACTAACCCCTAAATAGATGTCAACTTTCACTATTTATTGTTTGATATAAATGCCAATTTATATATTAGAATATTAAATTCATTGAAAATTAGGAGACAGAATATTGAAACATGATAATATAATTTAATGTACCTAACTTACTTAAACTGATATATTAGATTTAATAAATCATATTTTGTTCCTTTTTTAATAGGCAAAATCTCAAATATTATCCAGTGTACTGGATGTTGCTCATAAGTTTATAAAGGAAGGTAATACAAACGAACCAAAAGAGGAGGATCATTCTGCTAAAGATATTAGTAAAAGTCAACATAAATCTAAATCACTACTTCTGCAGAACAGAAGCTCTGAGGTAAGTTGAAGAAAATATAGTAGTCATTTTCCATCATGCATGAATGTGGAGACATTTTTTGAGGTTATTTTCTTGTTGTTAGCATGAGTTATTTTTTATTAATCAATTTTATTATAAAAATCTTTTTCAGATTTTTTTTAAGGAAATTGCTTTTATTCCACTGAACACTGATTTTTTGATGCATGATTATTTGACCATGTGTTTTCTGGGTATTTTCATCACATTAGGAAATACATAAGTCTTCGTGAGAAATTAAAAAAAAAATAACAATTGTATATTAGACAGGACTTCAGAGAAAATAGAAATATAAAACCTTGCCAAATCCTTTAGGTGACAGACAATTTCACTGTTATTTAAAATCAAATTTATATCAAACTGGCAGTTATTGAGATTGACTACTGAACCTGGTTTGTCTGGAGAGGTTTTCATTGACCCATGTATGTATTTTGATAATAGAATTGTATTGATTCTTTAGTAAGAAATAAACATCCTCAAATTTTTGTCTATGTAACAATCCATTTTTTTAGATGTCCCTCTCCTTTTACTGTAGTTCAAATGTAGTGAGTAACTGTCAAAAATCACCATTTTGCTAAATTTTGTCAAAATCACCACTTTGTTAATTAGTGATTGTCAGGCTTGAACTTCAGTTTATTATAACTGTGTAATGCTCTATAGACACTCCACTTCTTAACTTGAGTCATTAATTAAGTGGATTAATCCAAGAGTATGCATTAAAAAAAGAAACAAACATACGCGGGTAGGGTCTAGACGTGTGTGACTTCAATAACTGCACAATGATTCTGGTAAGTAATCCTGGCTGGGCATCACTGCTATAAACCCTCAGTGTGCTTCTATATGCAGGGTACATGCTGGATGTGATATTCGCTGATATGCTTGGAACTCCACTGTGCTGAAAGCAGTAGTTTCCCGATTGTAATAGGCATCAGAAATATTTGTAACTCATACCTGACAAAAATGTACATACCTGATCTGTTGTTGTTCTCCTCCCGTTTTGATATTTTTGGGTCTAGATTAAGGCCTGGGAATCTGATTTCTTCGTTAGCATACCAGACAGTTTTATTTCCTGGAAGAGTAAAAATAGAACTTAAGTTTGGTGTCTTTTTTAGGGCTCTTCTTATGCATTCAAGTCAATGGATATCCTTGGTAAAGTATCATTCTCGAAATATTTTCTTGAAATATTTTCATTTTAGAGAGTGACTCCTGAGTTGAAATATGGACCCTTTATTTATTTATGTATTTATTTGTTTGTTTGTTTCAATAACTTTGTAACATTAGGCCATTTGCTTAGCCTTTTTCCTCTTCTGGAAAGTAGACATATTTAAAGGTATCTTGCATGATTATCATATGACCTAGAAAGATAATGGATATAAAACACAGATTTCATGTGCTCTTTCAAACTTCCTGCATCCATTAGCATTGGGAAAATTCATGTTGGACTCCTAGTAGAAATGACATCTGAGAGCAAACGGCTGAAACATTTGAGACTTAATGTATATCTCTCTGGCTTTTTCCCACCCTGCCGTTGCTATGGGGAAGCCAAATGTTTCCCCACAAAATCCCTCATATCTCTGACTTATTGCTGGGAGCTGCCCTGGAGAACTACTGGTGTTACTGAATACTTAAGCTATTCAGTTTTGAGTGACTGAATTTTCACTGTATCTTCATTAATGTCGTGCATACACAGACACACATACAGTTCTCACATTGCTCACTGGCGCTACACATGAAAACTGTACCACATGCTCCTAAAACTCAGTGTTTTCAAAATAAATTCCTTTCTCCTCTAAAACTTATTGAAATGACTGTTGGTGGCAGCCAATCTGTCAGCTTTCCAGTTCAACAAGAACAAGTTATTTTCTAAAGTCCTTTATCTCACTGTTCTGCTCACCCATTCATTTAAAATGCCTCATGCTGTCTACAACCCAAAAGTTCTCTTTCTTGAATATTTGGTCACATCTATTCTTACTGCTTTTCCAAATACTCATATTAGATTTTTCTTAAGGTTCAAAAATTTTATAAAGTAGAAAATGCATTTCATTCTCTTTCTCTTCTAGGATCCAATATTATTTTCTGTTTTGTGGTTATGTATTTCTTTACACATGTCAAGATGGATTTATACTGATCTGCAATCATGTTTTTTGCATTTAACAATATATTTTGATACCCATATATGTACATTCTACAGCTTTCTTACTCTAAACAATGAATATAAAATACTCCTTATTTGGATGTTAATGATTTTTAATATGTATCATTCTCTGATCAACATTTATATGGTTTCTATCTTCTGCCAGTATAAAGAATAATTGTGAAAACTATTTTGTGTTTTTCTCCTTATCTGTCTTTGTCTATGTATCTATCTATCTATCTATCTATCTATCTATCTATCTATCCTCTATCTACCATCTATCAACATTTGTCTATAACTTCATCTCCAACTATAATGAAATACTGAAATTCCTAATCACTTTTTGTGATAGCAATACAAATGATTTACATTCCCGTACCACATTGCTTCTCAGCCTTTTGGCTAAGAACAAGTACACATTTCCATGTCACTCTGCTGTGTGACTCCATGGCTTGGCATATGTAACTCTCCCTCTCTCTGGATACCACCTGTCAGTTTTTGCCCATAGAATTCTTATTTGCCTAAGTTAAATACCTATTTCCTTGCACCTGTTCCTATTGTAGCCAACAGCTAGCATCTGGTGTCTATTAGATTCCCAGGTATTTTTTGTTATATTTTTAAATTTTTAACAACATTTAACATTATTTTCTTACTTGTATTCTAACAGTCTTCCTATTTATTTTGCAATTAAGGACTGGGCACAAAGGAATATTCTCCTGTAACTAGAAGATACATAATATAGGTTTTTTTTGCAATTTGATCAGTATGGGTAATCCACATTTGATAATTCAGCATTCATATGAAATTTATTTTGCTTTAGTTTTCTAATTTGACCATTTTCTGTAATTCACTGGGTAACTGACAGGTGCTACCTTTATTTACTTCTGTGACTTCACAAAGTTTGCATATTTTATATTGAATTCATCCTTCACTCTATCATAAGATGAGAAGCTTTCAGTGTTTCATCTGTATTGACTAATTTATTCATTAATTCAACTAACTTTTAATGAGCACCTTCTTTGCACCATGCTCTGTTCTAGATACTGAGAGGAAAAAAAAATCCTTTTTATTGCATTTTAATAGGGAGAGACAAATAAGCACATAGACTAAATTCACATGGAGATAAGGTATGGGGAAAAATAATGAAGGTAAATAATGAAGGTAAAGGTAAAGGTAAAGGTGGGAAAGAAAGAGGCTGTACATTTTGGAATTATCAGAAGTGTCATCATTTACTCTCTGAGTAGGTGACATTTGAGCAGAGACCAAATGAAATGAGTGGAATGACTATGTGACAAAATATGAAAAAGGATCACTCCAGACATTGGATAAGCGAGAGTAAGGCCTTCAAAAGAACATACTTGATGGGTTTTCCTAAACTGCAAGAACATTTATTTAGCTGAAGTGGGATGAGTGAATGTGAGAATTGAAGGAGGTGATGTAAAATCAGGGTGTATGAGGTTGTGTGGACCATTTTAGGTCCTGCAGGAACCTAGGAAAGCCTGGAGTTTTCCTAAAGAATCATTGGTGCATTTTGAGCAGAAGGATGACATGATCAAATTTATACATTAATTTTTATGCCATGGGGAGATTTCAGGAAGCAGGAGGAGGTTGGAGAATAGGAGGATTATATACAAGGCTATTGTCACTTTCCATGAGAACTCTGATAAATAAAATAATGATATTTTATTTTCAGTACTCTAGTTTTAATTCTGAGGAGAATATGTATGATAGCCATTAGAGTTTTATTTTTTTTAAAGATTTGTTTATTTATTTATTTATACAAGTCAGAAGTGCGGTAGGGTGAGAATATTCACCACAGCTAGAGAGGGGAGCAGAACAGGCAGACTGACGAAACACACTGCCGAGGGGAGCAGTGGGCGTGGCAGGAGAGGTTTGCACACCATGTGGGATCCTCACCGGTGGCCGGGGATCAAACCGGCACTGTAGAGGCTGCGGGCAGCTTCGCAGCCCAGTGCGCAACTGCTGAGCCACGGGGGAGGCCCTGCCATTAGAGTTTTAAAGGAATCAGATATGGCATTGTGAAGTTTTAGTAGTGAATTTTATGTAGTATATATACATGCTTATTCTCGATCATGAACACATGAAAACTATATAATGTACAATACAATATTACTCCAATAAGAACTGTGGGATTCCCAGATCCCCTTGTTCTCAGAGATATTGTCTTGGAGACCAGAGTTCCTGCTGGTGAAGCTAAAATGCAGAGTCAGGCAGGGGGCCTCTCACCAGGGAACAAGTCCTGGTGTAAGAAATATACTGGAAAACCGGTATCTGTTGAGAACAGAAGGCAGAATTTATGGCCAGATTAGCATACCAGCTAGATCACCATAACAGAAAGTTAAGTGAGAACAGGAGCTAGAGATAGGATGCTTTGGTCAGAGGGAACAGTGGAGCCATCCAGACAACAACTGTTATTCACCTCCCCCCAGCTTGCACCAGACTATTATGCACCCCCAATCCCCTCAACATACATTCCTCCACTTATTTGCCCACTGTCTCTGAGCCTGATCCTCAATAAATATGAGACTGCCTTTGTAAAGGAGTTGCAGTTTTTGAGGTGTACGCCCCTCTAGGGTTGCACATCCTGAGGTATAAGCCCCTGTGGGTCTCTCTCTACTTGGATTTTGAGTTGTCTTTCCACCAGCCTGCGTTGCTCCCAACTCTGCCGCCCCATGAAGTGACAGAGAAAGAAATAAATATATACAGCAGTAAAATTGTCTAGTCTGTATTAAAGTAATGTATTTTATAGTGCTCAATAATTAATGCTACCTGTATTTTAAGATACAGAAATTTTAGTAAAGCATACTTTAGTATATTTTTAATTGGTTTAGGTAGAAATTTCAACACCCAGAAGAGAAGAAAGCACAGAATCAGGAGATATACTCTTGTGTGAAGGGACATTCAATGAAGAAACTTCTGCCCAGTCCTTTCAGGAAGCTTTAAATGAGTGGAGAACTGGACGTCATCATGATGACAAGAAACATAATTTACATGCAGAAAAAACAGGTAAAGGTATTTCATAAAATTAATAGAGTGAATTTAATTTGTAGAGTTGAATTTATTTTGCCTCCATTCTCTGGGAATATAAATGCAATGTTTGAAAATTGTAAACTTTCATATAACAGTTTGATATACATTTTGAAAGGTATCTTCAATGTATTACCATTAATTTGAAGTTTTATACTTCTAGAACCCTGAATTAGAAATTGGAGATGTTTGTGTTTGTTTCTTGTATAAATTCAGGATGTCAGATGAATGGAAATTTGGGTTATTTCAGTCCTGCATCTCCTAGAAGTACATCTTTCTAAAGATAATTATTCAATTTTTTAATATTTTTTAAATTAAGGTAATTAATATTTTTTAAATTAAGGTAATCACTCCAAATGGTTCAGAAATATAGGCTCTTACCTTGGCAGGCAAGAGGTATAGTTTACTGAATCACATCAGCACCAATTCACCATAGCCTTGTACTGTAGTCCATTGTTCCTCTCCTTTTCATCTCCATGCTCCCAGTCCCCCTCTGGTACCCTTTGTTTCATAGTCATATTTCTAGGGTTTGTTTTAGGTTTAGTGTTTTCTGGCTCTTTGTTTTGTTTTACTGTTTTACACATATGAATGAAACCATATGGTGTTTGTCTTACTCCTTCTGGATTACTCTGTTTAGCATAATCTCCTTAAATTCCATCCATGTTGTTGCAAATGGCAAGTGTTCTTTTCTTTTTCTTTTTTTTTTTTTTTTTAATAGCTGAGTAGTATTCCTTGTGTATACTGCATCTCCTTATCCATGTATCTGTTGTTGGGAACTGAGGCTCCTTCCATAGTTTGTCTTGTGTATATAGTGATGCAATGAATGTAGGTGCACATAATCCCTTCATATTAGTGGTTTTGGAGTGAGATTCCTGGATTATATAGTAGATCTATTTGGAAAATTTTGAGAAATCACCCTACTATTTTCCATAGGATTTGGACTAGTCTATATTCAATAGTTTACAAAGGAAAGTTTGTTTTTTTCCCACACACTTGTCAACACTGGCTGTTTCAAGACCTTTTGATTTGGGACATTCTCAAAGTTATGAGATAGTATCTCTTTGTGGGTTTTTGATTTGTGTTTCCCTGATGATAAGTGATAATGAGCAATTTTTCATGTGACTATTGACCATCTTATGTATTCTTTAGAAAAGTGTTCTTTTGGGGTTTCTGCAATTTTTTTCATTGGGATATTAAATTTCTTTTTGTTGAGTTACATGAGTTCTCTGTTCATCTTTGATATTATCCCCTTGTCAGTAGGTAGAAATATATTCTACCATTTGTCAGGGTGTCTTTTTTGTTTTAATTATAGTTTCTTCTCTGTTCAGAAGTTTTCTAGTTTGAAGGAGCTTCATTTACTTTTTATTTTATTTCCCTTGTGTAGGAATGGAGTTTCCAAATACATCATTGACACTAACATTGTGGAGTGCTTGCCCTGTGCTTTTTTTTTTTCTTTCTGTTTTATGGTTTCAGGCATTAGAAAATCTTTAACCCCATTATGAGTTAATGTTGGTAATGTTTTCAGATAGAAGTCTGGGTTCAGTCTTTTGCATGTGGCTGTCATGATTTCTCAGTACCGTTTGTTGATGTGACTTTCCTTTCTCCAGTGTGTTCTATTAGCTCCTTCATCATAAATTGTCCATATCAGTGTGGTTTTGTTTCCAGACTCTGAAATCTGAATCTGTTTTTATTCTAATACTAAATTGTTTTGATTAGCATGGAGGCATAATTTGCGGTATTATAGTTTGAAGACTGGGAGTGTGATTTTTCCATTTTTCCTCCTGTCAGGATTACTTTGACTAGCTTGGGTCTATTGTGGTTACATAAAAAGTTCATTTCTTTGAAGAATGTCATTGAAACCTTGATAGGGCTTGCATTGAATCTGTATATTGCTTGGGTAAGATGACCATTTAAAAAATGTTAATTCTTCCATTCTATGAACACAGGATACCTTTTCATTTCTTTGTTTCTTCTACTTCTTTTAATAACATTTTATGGTTTTCATTATACAGGTCCTTTTCTTGTTTTGTTAATTTTATTCCAGTATATTTAGTATAATTTTTTGTTGTGATAGTAAATGGGATTGTTTTATTGATTTCTTTGTCTCTAGTTCATTGTTTGTAACCAATATTTGTGGTTTTTTTTTAAAAATTTATTTATTTTTATATAAGAGCTGGGGTACAGGCCAGAGGCACAGGAGGGTGAGAGGATTCACTGGAGACAGAGCAGGGAGCAGAACAGGCAGATGACAGAAATACACTGCTGAGGGGAGCAGCAGGCAAGACAGGAGAGTTCTGCCGCACCATATGGGATTCTCGCCAGCTGGTTGGGATCGAACCCACACTGCAGAGGCTGAGAACAGCTTCACAGCACTGTGCTCAACCCGCTGCGCCACCAGGGAGGCCCTGTAACTAATATTTGTATATACATTTTTAAAAATCTGCTTATTAACTGTACTCATTTATTTTTTTCTAATACTTTTTTTTGTGTGTGTGGTGTGGAGTCTTTAGGGTTTTCTGTGTATATAATCATGTCATCTGCAAAGAGTGATGATTTTCTTTTTTTTTTTAATAACCAATTTATATTCCTTTTATCTTTTTTTTTTTTTTGGCTTGATTGCTCTAAGTAGGACTTCTGATACTATCTTAATAGTAGTGGTGAATTTCAATAGCCTTTTCTTATTACTGATCTTTTAGGAAGAGCTTTCAGCTTTTACATTTTAGTATGATGTTAATGGTGGGTTTGTCATATATAATCTTCTAAATGCTTATATACGTTTCTTCTAGACCTACTTTTGAGGTATTTTTTAATCATAAAGTGGGCTGAATCTTCCCTACTGCTTTCACATCTTTTGATATGATCATGCTATTTTTCTATTTCCTTTGGTTGATGTGGTGAATTACAATTGATCAGTTTCAGATATTGAACCATTCTTATAATCCTGGGATAAGTCCACTTGATCATGTTTTTTGATCCCTTTAATACATTGTTGAGTTCAATTTACCAAGATTTTATTGAGGATTTTTCATTTATGTTCACCAGGATATTGCTTAGTAATTGTCTTCTTTTGAAATAGCATTGACTACTTTTGCTATCACATTAATGTTTTCCTCATAAAATGTTTCAAAAGCATTCCATCAATGTTTTTGAAAAGTTTGACTAGGAATGGTGTAGGTCATCATCGAAGGCTTGATACAGCTCAACTGTGAAACTGTCTGCCCCTGGGCTTTTGATTTTTGTGATACTGTTGATTTAATAAGCTTGATTATAACCTTTCTGTTTTAATAAGCTTTATTATAACCTTTCTGTTCAGATTTTCTATTTCTTACTAATTCAGTCTCAGGGTTGTATTTCTTTAAGAAATTGCCCATTTATTCTAGATTATTCAATTTATTGGCTAATAGGTATTTGTAGTAAACTCTTACTATCATCTGTAATTATGAGAAATCTGTTGCTCCTTATCCTCTCTCATTTTTTATTCTTTAATAGAGTGTTCTGCATATTTTGCTTGTAAGCCTAACTAGAGTTTTATCTATTTTGTTAATTTTGTTAATTTTCCTAAAGAACCAGCTTTTAGTTTCATTGATTTTTTTTGACTATCATCTTTTTGATTCCTATTTTATTTCTATTCTAATTTTTTATTGTTTTCTTCTTTTGACCTTGATTTTTGTTTACTTTTTCTTTTCTAATTCCTTGAAGTGTAAAGGTAGATTATTTATTTGATCTTATTCTTGTTTCTTCATATGGGCTTCTATTGCTATATACAGCTGCCATAGTACTGCTTTTGTTGTATCCCATAATTTCTGGTAGTAGTGGTCTTCATTGTTATTTGTCTTCAGTGACTTTTTAGTTTCTTCTTTTATTTCTTCATAAATCCAATAGATATCCCATATTATGTTGTTGAATCTTCACAAATGAGAAGTTTTTCCTGCTTTCTTTTCATGGTTGATTTCTAGTTTGATGTTGTAGTCAGAGAAGATAGCTGATATAATTTCACATTTCATTAATTTTTGACACATTTTTGTGACCTACATTGTGATCGAACCTGGAGAATGTTCCATGTGCCTTGAAAAGAATTTATAGAAATATTTTCGGATGCTGTGAACTATAAATGTGTATTAAGCTCAGGCGTTCTAATTTCTCATATAAGACAATTATTGCCTTGTTGCTTTTCTTCCTGGTTCCTGTCCATTAATGAGCATCTACTGTCCCCTACTACTAGTGTGTTGTTGCTAATATCTGCTTTTAGGTTTGTTAATATTTGTCTTATATATTTTGTTGTTCATTATTTTGGTGCATGTGTATTGATGATATACACCTTCCTGATACATTGTTCCCTTAATCATTATCTTAATAGCCATCCCTGTCTCTTGTAACCTTTTTATTTTATTTTAAAGATTTATTTATTTATTTTTGTATTGAAGAACTGGGATCTAGGCCAGAGGTGCAGGGTAGGGGGGTGAGAGAATTCACCAGAGACAGTGTGGGGAGCAGAACAGACACTTTTACTGAAATACACTGCTAAGGGGAGCAGTGGGTGAGACAGGAGAGCTCTGTGCCAAATGTGATTTAGCTTCCTGGCTGGGGATCAAATTCAGGTCACAGTGGTGAAAGTGCTGAGACTTAACCCCTATGCCACCAGGGAAGCCCTCTTGTAACCTTTATCGATGAAATTTTGTTTTGTCTGATATGACTGTCTCTGCTTTTCTTTTTGGTGGGGGGATTCCATTTGTTTACAGGATTGTTTTTTTCCAGGCATTTGCTTTGAGTCTGTTTTGACCTTTGGAGCACAGATGGATCTGCTGGAGAAAGGAAATTTGGGTTTTGTTATCTAAACCATTTTTCATCTCTGTGCCTTTTGGTTAGTGAGTTAAATTCATTTACGTTTTTAGGGTAGTTATTAGGGTGATTAGATTTTCTGCTGCCATTTTGTTTTAGATTTCTGGTTCTATTTATTTGCTTGTTCAGTATTTTGTGGA